TATATTATCCACGCCATGCAAGTTAACAGTGCAAGAGAATTGCATTGCTCATTATTTTTACGTGAACAATGAAAAAAATAAGTAATTCTTACTTTTTTAAATACTGTGTTTTTTCAATGTAAAAATAAATAAAAATATATTTTTATTTTTTTTAATCAAACAACTACGACTGAATTTTAAATAAAAATACAGTCACAGCTGCAAAGCCAAACAGGCTCTAAAAATTAGCGTCATTCTGCGTTTGCCAAGAAAATTGCACTGCCGTGAACAGTAAAAAATAAGTAATTTTTACTTTTTAATATTGTGTTTTTTCAATGCAAAAAAAATATATATATCTTTATTTTTTTTAACCAAACAATTATAATTACGTTTTAAATAAAAACGCAGCCGCAGCTGTAAAGCCAAACAGGGCTCTAAAAATTAGCGTCATTCTGCGTTGGCCGATGCTCGATCTAAACGGACTTGAGTAGAAATTATAGCCCCACGAACTCTTCTCTGAAAGTGTGGAGATCCTTTGAAACCCAAATCAAGCAGCTCGCATCCGTCGATGTTGCCTATAAACTTCTGAGCCCTCCTCGTCTGAAACCAACCACCCGTTCATTTTCTCTGACATTATCGAATAGCCATTGAAGTCCCCAGTCACAACCCAAGGAAGATAAACACAACAATGTCTCCCTCCCAGATGCCTGGGGACTAGCATATCCTGCAGTAAAGTACCATAATCTATTACCATTCTTGTGAATCGATTCAGATTGTTTTTAACCCACATGTTATCATCCATGTACTGAATATTCACCAATTAAAAAGCTACTGAAGATATGATGTTCAATCACCATTCAAAAACAACAGAAAAAGGAGTCATGATACTTACTTATTTCTTCAAACCCTTCATGGAATTCAAAAGATTAAGTTTAGATAGAGATGAATTCTTTGATATATTTGGAGAATAGTTATGGCGGGGGAGGGAAAAGAAAAGAAAAGAAAATCAATTATCTAGTAAAATTCTCTTTAAATACAAAGGTTAGGTTGGATTTTTGGATTTAAGCTGTGTTTGTGTTTGTGTTTGGGTCTGATGAGCCAAAACATAGGTCTCATGTGTGAAATTTTTTATTTTTGAAGTTTTTTTTTTTATTTGAATGTGCAATTTTTTTATTTAATAAATAAAAAGAAATTGTTAAATTTTATCCATTATACATGTTACATGTTGGGGTGACCAATTGATTTCATGTTAGCATGCTAATGTACAAAATAATTATGCATGAATATTTCACTTTATTTTTAATTAAGTAATTACATTTTTATTTTTGTATTTAAGAGTAAGTGTTTTTATTTTTTCTAATTAAGTGTTCTTACTTTTAAAAACTCACCAATTAAGTGTTTCTAATTTTAAAAGCTAACAAGTGTCCATTTAGCATTTTTATGTATTCAATATTTGTACAAATTTAAATAAAATTAAAATTAAGAAAACAGGATAATAATAATTTTTTATTCAAATTAAGAAAAATAAAAATAAAAGACTACTTGTCAATTAAAAAAACTCAGATTGGCTTAATCTTCTCTGCTTTTTCACAGCCCTAACAAATAGAAAAAGTAAAAAATTTGCATACCAAAGTATATAATAATCTCGAATAAATATAATTGATTGCTTGATGCAAAACCTTAATATATAAAAATATGCATCGCTCCTTCGTCTCATCAATATAAATTTCTCTAATTTTTCCAAGTTATTTACACTTATCATTATTTTTTTCTTGGACCGGCGGTCACTGAATTTGCCTAATTGGGAGTGAAAGATAATTGATTGGGTGAACAACATAACTACAAGGATACACCTTATATATTCAATTTTTATTTATTAAATTCTTACTTACCAAAAAATTATTACAACTCTTTATATAAAAAACAAAAAAAAAATTATTAATATTGAATATGAAAATAAAAATAAAATATTCCCTTCAAATAAAAAATATAGAAATTCTAACAATAGTAAATGATAAAGGAAAAATAAAAAAATAAAAAATATATTTATTTTTCTAAAAACTTCTATTTCAAAATTTAAAAATACTAGAACTTTTCTCCAAGAAAAAGATGAACAATAGATTCTATTTCTAGATTAACTCAGTATTTAATATCTAAATTTAAAAAAAAATACTTATTTAAATATAAAAGATATTTTGAGATATCACATAGAAACAATGAATTAATAAAACCGACATTAATAGATATTTTCATGGTAATCGACAGAGGGTGCATTTCAAACAAAAGCATGCGATTTTCTAAGACAACTTTTCAACCTGGAGCGAAACCGACGACAGGGTGTTTGGTAGGGTGCTTCGTGTTTTATTTTAAAGTGTATTTTATATAACAAAAAATTAAAAAAATATTTTTTAAAAAAAATTATTTTTAATATTCACGAATCAGAATAATTTCAAAATATTAAAAATAATTAATATAATTTTTTTAAAAGAAATAAACAGTTGTCCCTGGGAAATCTGTCTTAAAAACTGCTGCTACTTTACTGTACTCCTTTTATGTTTGGTTTTTTCCCGGAAAATTACCATACCGTGATTCTTGTCTTGTCAGATCCTTAGTGGTCGGATCAACTTCAAAGTCTTCAACTGATCTTCATATCTCACATGTACGTAACTTCTAGCTCCTCCTTTCCTTTTCAGCTTACTTAAGTATTAAGCTTTCTTCTTCTTTTTTCTCTCTTTGAGTTGTATTTCTTGATTGATTGTAGTTTCGTCCACATGGTGGATTATGGCTAGATATTATTTGCAACTATATTGGCTAAAAAAAAGATTGAATTTTCTAGTTGGGGTTTCGATTTTTAGTTCTTGAATTGCTTGCAATTCTCAGTTGCTTCATTCAAAGGAGTATGGCTTTCAGGGCAGTTCATTCGTGGACCTTGGCTGATCTTATCTTTGCCTTTCTTGACCTTGTCATTGCTTATGTCCTGCTTTGTGGATCCGCTTATGCATTTCTTTTATCAAAATTCTTGAGTGCTGTTGGGTTTTATCTGCCATGTCCATGTACAGGCCTTTTTGGGTATCAAAATAACGATTTGTGTTTGCATAAACTGTTAATTGATTGGCCGAAAAGAAAAATCTATTATGTACAAGCGCTGGTGAAGAGTAGGTTCCCTTTTGATTTGATTTGGTTTGTGGATCAATCAAGTGATTTGCATGTGGAGGGTGTTAGAGATAAGAAACGGGAAAATGGGGTGATTGAATTGAAGGGAGACGGGTGCTCCACTTCCCTTTCAGGTCCAAGATTTTCGAGTTGTGTTGGTGGAGAAAGTGGATATGATGCTAAGGAGAAGAAAGTTACGAACCAAAAGCACAAGTCTGGGATCCGGAGGCGCAGGAGAGCTACTATTGGATATGGTAGATTCCTTTCCGCTTTGTCTGCAAATAGCACACGCTCAATTGGTCTAGCTGCTCCTCACTCTAGTCATGATAGCGGCGGTGAAATGGGATGTCAAATCAGTGGAAACTTGGGTCCTGCAAGTGGAACTGAAGATGGTCTTCTGGGTGAGTGAAATGTGCATCTTAAGTGAGCTGTTTTTCCTCCCTAAATATTATTCTTTAGTTGTTGGTGATTCTGCTATACCTTTTAGATTCTTAATTACCTGATTTCGGAATTAAAAGTTAAAACAATAACTTTTGTTGAAGTCTCAATGTGTCATAAAAAAAGCGATGAAGTGTGAGTTAAAAATGGTTTCTTTTAAATTTTTTGTTGATTTTCTTAGATGTCACTGAAATGCAAACTGACCTTTCTGGTAATGCCTAATGCCATTTTAGGTGAGGGACATGGTCCAATTGTTATTGATCATTGTAAAAGAGTTCATAGTAGTTTTGAGTTGAATGGGTTGTATGACAAGGGTAAAGGCATCAGAAGCGACCCATCATTTGTTAAAAACATGGCATGTAATGCTGAAGATGTATTGGACAGTGTTAGAAATGATGTGATCAAAATGTTGGAACAATCACTTGAAGAAGAGAAAACTGCACAAGCTGCTCTTTACCAAGAGTTGGAGAAAGAGAGGGCTGCTGCTGCTAGTGCAGCTGATGAGGCGATGGCCATGATCATGAGGTTGCAAGAGGATAAGGCATCAATAGAAATGGAAACGAGGCAGTATCAGAGGATGATAGAAGAAAAGTTTGCTTATGATGACGAAGAGATGGATATTCTGAAAGAGATCCTTGTTCGGAAGGAGCTGGAGAATCATTATCTAGAGAAGAAACTCGAAGCTTATCAGTTAATGAACATTTCAGGAAAAGAGCAGCTGGAAGAAGACTCAAGAAATCAGATGAACAGTACTGGAAAAAGGCCTCCACTTTCATTTGATTCCGATGAGAATCTATCCCTGCTGCCGGAGCAGATGGTGAAGGGTAAAACCATTTTCCAGAAGGAAGTGAAAACAAACGCAACTTGTTCATCAAATAATGAAGAAAGCCATACTCTTGCTTTGGGGAAGGAAATGATGCCAGAGTGTAAGGAGTCAGCTTCTGATTCATCTACTTCAGAAGGGGTGCAGCAGAAAACTGTTTGCGTAGCAGGGAAAGAAAAAACTCAAAGATATGCTAGCGTGGTATCCCAAACTTGTGGAGGCATGGAAGAGGAGATGGGAAAAGACAGAAATCATTTGAATCAAGAAGGAAGCTGTATGCATAGTCCCATGCTTGACACTGAATTGACTGTTTATGATGTTCATGTCGTTGATGATGAAACAACAGTTTGGAAGGAGGGTGGTGGAAAAGAAAGTGGACCATTAAGTAGTGCTCCTTCAAATTTTGAGGTTTGGACCACTAGTGAACTGAGTGATTGTCCAAGAACAAGCATGACAGAAATTGAGCCTGATGGTCGTGGAAGCCATTTGGATACCACTAGCGGTTCACCAGGGTTGGGCGATTCACAGTGCAAAACCTTGGATATTGACTCACAGCGGAGTTCTTCATCGGCAGTCAGTAGTGAAAGGTTTAAAATTGACTCTGAAGTTGAATGGCTTAGAGAAAGGCTACGAACAGTGCAAGAGAAAAAGGATAAATTGACTTTCCCTGCAGAGCACAATGAGAGGGTCAATGCACAATTGAAACTTGTGGAGGAGATAATAAGCCAGCTTCGAGAAACTTATCAGCTGAGAGAGCCAGTGCGGCAGGCTTCTTTACCCCCTTTATCTTCTAAGGTGCGCTGAACAATTTTATCGCGCCGCTATTTAGATTTCCTCTTCATATGTCTAGTTTTGATTTGTGCCTTTGGCATAGTCCTGTGGTCATTTATACATGTTTCTTGTGTCATAAATTTTCCTTTTCTGATTTCCCTTTTTTTCTTTTTTGTTTTGTCATGTATGACAATTACACCAACCTAGTTATTGATGTTAGACACTGCTGAGGAAACAAACTGTAATATCACTTGGAGTTCAGGATAAAATCATACAACTAGATCATCATCCTCAATGGAAGTGTTATGAGGTGAAAAACTGATAGGGAGAACTGCAAATTAGGAGGATTGAGTTCACAGATTTTTAGATCTTGGTTTTTAGAATGGCTGGTACTGCATGGCATTTCTTTGTTAATAGATGGCGTATAACAACTTGAAATGACCGGCTGCTACAGGCCATTGTGTTAGCTTTGACAAGCAGTGTTCTTATTTGCTTTCCATGCATCGTGCTTGGAATTTATACATTAACTTCAGAAGTATAGGAGTGGACCTTTTCTTCTGTTGGCATTTCAAAGTCTAATCTTCATGCTTCTTTTAAAACCAGACTAAATAACATTTCCAAAAACAAGAAGTTTCATTTTACTTTTCATTTCCTTCTGCTTCTCCTTGTTGCTTTGTTTCATTTCCTTCTCATTTTCATTTTGCGTGGTAAGATGAATGAATGTCAAGCACACAATCCAATGGCATGGTTGTGAGAAATCAGAGGTGGCCCTATTTGAGACTAGAGTTGGGACTACTACTAGCAGCCCGCTTGTTTTTTAATGGCACTCTGCTTTTGTAGAGAAAGAAGGAAAGCTGGCAAGACATTTCGTGTGCCATTAACACTTGGTTGTGTTCTAAGATCCCCATGACAGACTAGATATAGGAAATTAGCGTCAAATTCTAAAATGGTCAGAGGTCATTATCAGTGGAAACAAATTGAAGTTTGCATTTGGTGAAGTTGATACACGTTAGAATACCAACAATAAGGAGAGAAAGAAAGGCAAAAGCTAAAGCTATTAGGTGAAATAGAAAATGATAAAATTTAAATTCGTGATCATTTGGTCATTCTTATATCATGTTAAAGAGCTTTTTCAACCTAAAAATTTCAATTTCGATGATGTTCCGAGATATGTTTTATATTAATCTTTAACACCTGTTACATACAGTAGTTGAATAGCAGCACATAGGTTATTTTGTCTGCTTGAGCTAGGTTGTGTTTTCGATTTGATCTCAGTTTCTGGAGGTTGACACTTGAGGTATTAACCCTGTCAATTTTAATGATATATTAGTTCAGATACTTTCAGACAGCTAAGATCTTTCTACCGAGTTGGAGCACATAACTTTTTTGTTCCTTTTCTTTTTGTCAACTTCTTGGTTGAAACTTCACCCTGCATTTTCAGGTGAGCTTGAAAAAAAGGAGTTGCAGAAGTGTGTCGTCGGAGGCCTTTGAAAGTGCCTGAATCATGTATCATATATACCAGAACCAGGAATCTGCACACGTGATTTAGGGTTTTCTCCTGTACCATGTTGGTAGTATTCTGAGAACTGTAAATTTCATTAGCTTTCTAAATCATCAGTACATAGAGTTTGCTGTTGTAAAGTATAATGTTGATCTGGTTGACGAATTTTGAAGTGAATCAAAATTTCTCCAGTTTGTATTTTTTTCCAACAGATTTCTCCAATATATCTTTGAATTTAAAAGTGGTTGTAATAGTTTGTCATCCTTCTTCTGGTTAAAGATTCTCGTGCAATATTATCAAGGAGACCGTCCTAAAGAGTGTGTGCTTGCATAATAGCATTCATGCCAGCTCTCGAGTGAAACTGGTCTCCTCATTTCCCTTTAAAGAAAAAAAAAAAAAACAAAAAGGAGAAAATGCAGCCAATATATTGCTGAAAATAACAAAATATTCTCCGAACGACATCATATTGCAGAATATTTTCTTACGCTCTCCAATAGATAGCTTTAAGTTACTCTTTTAGTATAGAATAGACAGATATTAGAGACAAAAAGATGTGTTTTCGCAGCCAATATGTTGCTGAAAATAACAAAATATTCTCCAAATGACATCATATTGCAGAATATTTTCTTATGCTCTCCGATAGATAGCTTGAAGTTACTCTTTTAGCATAGAATAGACAAAGATATTAGAGACAAAAAGATGTGTTTTCCTGTATTTACTATTTTAAAAATATAAAAATTTATTTGCTATAAACATATTTATTTTATACAGTTACTTTTTTAATTATTATTTATTCTTTTATGTTTTAATAGGGGTGAGTATTTTTGAATCAATCTGTTTTTGGGTAAAAAAAAATTCTTTTTATATTTTGATAATTTCAAGGATTTTTTCTTATAAAAAGAGTGGTAATTTCATAATGAACCCATAACTTCCTATTTAATAAAGGGTATTTAGAGTATAGTAATGTTGTTTTTTAAAGTATTTTTAATTTAAAAATATGTTAAAATAATATTTTATTTTTAAAAAATCAAATTTGTCATTAGCATATCAAAATAATTTAAAAATAAAAATCAATTTTATCATTAACATATCAAAATAATTTAAAAATAAAAAAATAAAATTTTCTGAAATACGCAATTCAAAACAATGCTTAAATTGACAAGCTATCCATCTGTGGGTTTTTTTTTTTTTTTCTAGGCAATAACTCGTTGATAATAAAGAATTGATTTTGAGTCATCATAAATTAATGAAAATGAATCGTATTGTCTATCAAATCCCGTCGATGAAAGATTAAAACTATGAATCAAATATAAACATTCTTTCTCAACCCAAAAAATAAATAACCACACCTCTGTCTAAAATGAAGAAAAAAACCATAACAAATTGGTGAGTTAATTTTTCGTCAAGATTTTTTTTATATAAAAAATCTTTTTAAATAAAATAGTTCTAATAAATATATTAGATTTAAAAAAATTAGACTTTACAGTGAGTCAAATTTAAAATAAATATAAGTCTGATAAATATATCAAATTTAAAAAACTTTGACATTACCGAGTACTAAAATTATAATATGTTTGATTCTTGATGATATTTTAGAATACAAGAATAAAAAACTTGATAAATTATGATATCTTTCTATTTATAACAATTATTTATGTTACGATAATAATTTTTCTTTATACAGACACACAAAATGTTTCAAGTATTGAATAACTTTTTAGTTATTTATCTTGAATTTTGGCATATTATATTAAATAAAAATAATAAATATACTATAAAAGACTATAAAAATCAAAAGAAACTAAATTGAAACGATTGACCGAATGATCAAATAATAAAAACAGGTGAAATATGTATTTGGTATTGTAATTACAGTGTGAAAGAAGAGAGAAAAGGTGAAAAAAAAGGCCCTTATGGTTTAAAAATATTATTTAAAAAATATTTGAGAAATGATTCAGTGATACATATATTAAAATGATTATTATATTTTAAAATTTCTAAATATTTTTTAATCATTATTTTTTCATTATTAAAAAAGATATTGTTTGGTTTTGTTTTTTATCAATTATAAAAAAAAACAAATTAATTTATTAGTTAAATAGTTTTCACTTTCTGCACTAGGACTCATATATAATTGTGTGTTATAAAAACTAAAATAAAATACTTTTTATTGATAAAAACTTGTTTTCCACATAAAAATTCATTTCACTATAATTTTAATTAAATATATATTTTTTAAAAATTATAATTATAAATAGTTTTTAAAATTTTATTTTTAAAAATTATAATTATAAAAATTGTCACAACACCAAATAGCAATCATGATATATAAATATTGTAAAAGTGCCGGTGAAAAAAAACAAACGGAACCTAAATGGTTTGATTTCACCGGAGTCGGATGCCTTGGATTAAATAACTCAAGAAGGACAGCAATGTTGTTGTCATGAAGCATATGCTGATGTTTGTTGGTGGTTGTTGGCTAAGAATATAATTATGAGCTTAGTGACCATATAGGGACCGACAAAAAGCCTATTGCTTACCTCAACACTTACACACAATGTAACTAAAAGGAATCTAAAGTATTTTTTTATTTTTAAAAATTACTTTTTATATTAATATATTAAAAAATAAAATAAATATTAAAAAAAAAACACTGTTCGAATGCAATTCCAAACCGCCTCTTACACATCACTCTTCAATGGATATAGATGGTGTTGATTTTTTTTAATAATTTTATTATTAATGTTCTAATTTTATCATTTTTTTTAATTTTGGTATATTAACTTTATTTATTTTTTATCTGGGAACACTAATTTTTTCAAAAAAAAAAATTAACTGAATATTTTTGTCCACCTTCTATCAGTTTATTATTATTTGATGACTTGTCTTTTGCTTTTACATTGATATTAGCACTCCGGCTTTTATTCTATAATCATTATTAGTACATGTTTTTAACTTTTTTTTTTTCATCATTTACAATTCTTCTATATAAATACTAAAAAATATCATATAATTAATTAAAACTAGCAAATAAATTATTGATACAATTAAAACTGGCCCTTCCATCCAAATTCCCATCATTGTCTTAGATAATAAATGGCGTGACCTATTTTTTCTATCAAAAAACAGTTTGAGATACTCAAATAAAAAAAATCAAAAGCTAAATAAAGTTTAATCTGAATTTCACAGGCATTTTTGGGTTATCTAGTTGAAGAAATTAATAAACTATTTGATTAAAATAATAAAAGAATGTTGGTGTATTTAAAATAAAAGGAATTAATGTTTAAGTTCTTATTTATTTTTGTGTCTCAAAAGTATTTTTTTAAAAAAATTATTTTTATTATTTTTATTTTTATTAATATTTTTTGATATTTTTAAATCATTTTGATGCATTGATATTAAAAATAATTTTTAAAAATAAAAATATTATTTTAATATATTTTTAAATAAAAAATAATTTCAATTACATTTTTAAGCATACTCTAAGTAATTAATTGATATAAAATAAAAGTTATAATACTAATAATATAAAAAAAATAACATGAAAAAAATAATAGAGGTAAGACGTTTTGACAAGTATACTTCACTTATTTAAAAAAAAACAAACAAAAATTAAAATGCGTATACTCAATTAAAAAATATATAAAATTAATGTACCGATAATACAATTTTGTTTTTCCTTTTATTACAAAATATAGGATTCAGATCCTTAGAAAGAGTACGATTTTTATGATCTTAAGTACGATTTAATAGGTATGTTAATGATAATCACAATTACCATGATAATGATGATATAATAACCATAATTAGTTAGCTACTAGATATTTTTTCCGCGTGTTACTGTTAGCCAAACAATATTTTTTTTAATGTAAAAGAAGTGATAGGTTAAACAAATTAAAGTCCCAAGAAATGGGTTAAATTAAAAATTTAAATATTTATAATAAAAAATCAATAATAGTAAATAAAATGACAGGAAAACAACGGAAAAAAACCCACGTTCAAGTCTATTTAAATTCTTAAATAATTTAATATTAACTTTAAAAAATCAGAAAAAAAAGTCAAATTTTAAATAAAAATAGAAAACAATAGCTTAAAAAAAAACTAAAAAAATTTAGGTGAATATCTTAAACCTGGTCCAATCTAAAAAATAATAACTTGTTAAATCATATACCTAAGTTCGAATAAGAAGTTTAAATATTATCTAATTTAATTTTAAACGATAGAATTGTTAAAAAAACCATTAATAAAAAAAATTACAAGAAAAAATAACAAAAAATAGGTTTAAAATTTGACAAGAAAAAACTCATTAAGAATGGAATCCAAAAATTTTTATCACAAACAAAAAAAAATACAATTAAAAAAAATTAGAACCAAACTTAAAAGATTAGAAAAATATAGGAAATGAAATTAGAAATTATTTTTAAACAGATATGATAAGTTATTTATAAATTAGAAAATAATGAAATGAAATAGAAAAAAATTATTAAAGACTAACCCAAATTAATTTTGAATAATGAGATCAGAAAAGAATATTAATAAAATACATGTAAAAACAATAAAAGTAATAAAAATAAAATTTGATAGAAAAAACTTAAAAAAGATATAATTTAATGAAAAAAATAATCCTAAAAAATAAATATCAACTAAAAAAATAAAAACCTTTTAATTTGTCAGTTATGAAATTCTATTAAGAAATTTATTATAAATCAGTTTAAAAATATAATTTAAGAAATTTATCAAAGCTACAAAAAAAAAAAAAAAAAACAAAAAAGA